TTTATATGACTCCACATATAAGTAACGACCATGTGATGGAGGTATTGTATACGTGATAAATACTGCTTTAAATAGTGGGAGATGGAGATGTGAGAATCAAGATGTTCAACATAGTAACATGCACAATCCCAGTTGTTTGATATGTTCTAAGTTTCAAAAGGAGTCTCTTATCCCTAGGAAAGTTTGATGAGCAAATATTCTAGCTTACAAGTGGTAATAGATTTTTGAATATTTCAAATGGAGCACTAGTGGTTACAAAAAGAGAGTTAGTAGGCAATTTAAGCAAACTTGTTAGAGAAACAATTTTTAGATAGGCCGATATTGTAAAGGTAGATTCTGTCATGATACGGCATGCACAGTTTTGGCCACATGAGTAAGTGTGGACTCAAGTTATTTCTTGATAAAAACTTTATACTTGGTTTAAAATCTTTTAGTTTAGATTTTTGGGAGTCATGCTTATTTGGAAAACAGAGTAAATTGCAATTTGCTTTATCTATCGCTAGAAGTAAAGATTTTTTAAGATTGATTGATTCAGATACATGGAGATCATATTTGTGTCTATGCAGGGTGCTACATATTTTGTCAATTTTATTGATAACTTTAAGAAAATGTAAATTTATATGCCGAAAAAAAAAAAAAAAAAAACAGAAAAAAAGAAAAAAAAGAAAAAAAAGATACCTTCTAGTTGTTTCAAAAAATCTAAGGCCTTGGTAGAAAATCAGAAAGGTAAGAACATTAAGTATCTAAGAACTGATAATGAGGAATAATTTTGTTTAGTGAAAGTAATAATATCTGACAACAAATAATAAGGAATAATTTTATTTTAGTGAAGTAATAATTTTTATAGTGAACATGGTATTGCTAGATGTTAAAACTACATTTTATATGATAACTTAAAAGAAGAAGTTTTTATGACCTAACCTGAAGCTTTTATTAAGGAAAAAGAAGAAAAATTGGTTTGTAGTCTCAAGATATCATTGGATGGGTTGAAACATGCACCGACGTGTTGGTACAAATGGTTTGATTCTTTCATATTGAGCTTGAATTTTCATGGATATGAAACTGACTATTGTTTATATTTTCGTGATTATGAAGATGAATTCTTTATTATCTTATTATTGTATGTCGATAACATGATTGTTGCAAGATTAATTAAAGAGAATGTAACAACACTCAAAGCTCAGTTGGTTAGGGACTTTGAGATGAAAGCTGTTAGTTAATTGAGATGAGTATACTTAGATACAGGAATAGCAGGAATATCTAATTAACTGAAAAGAGTTATATGGAGACGGCTATGAGGCATGTCAATATGCAAAATGCAAAACTAGTTAATACCCCATTTCGTATGCATATGAAGTTGCCTTCAAAAAATGTCCCAACAATAAAGCAGAAAAGATACATATGTCTCGAGTGTAATATTCATCAGCAGTAGGGTGCATCAAATTTCATATAGTTAACACTATACCTAACAAAGTACAAACATTAAGAGTGGTGAGCAAATGTATGACAAATCCTAACCATGATCACTGCACCTCTGTGAAAATGATCCTTTGGTATTTGAAAGGAATTTATAATGCTGGTACTTGTTACAAATGGATAGATTTGAAAGTCGCCAGTTATGTTGCTACAAACTTTGCAAGTGACTTGGATAGAAGAAGGTCTACTACAAGATATGTTTTTTCTTTCAGAGGTGATATAGTTAGTTAGTTAGTTATCAAGATTGTAGTAATTTATGGTTTTGTTTTCTACAGTGTCTAAGTATATGTCACTTACTCATGCATTTAAATAAGGAAGTTGGCTAAACATATCCGAGTTATGCAAGAAGGTATACTGCTTTATTGTGAGAACTTGAGTACCTTGTTTTTAGTAAGGAATCTGCCTTTCCATGATATGACTAAGCATATTGATGCACAATATCACTTTGCTCATGACATTGTAGAAGATGGAAGAAATTTAACACATAAAATTCATATAGGTGACAATCCAGCATATACGTTGAGTAAGCCAATTGGGAAGCAGTTTTGGAGCAGGCAAGTCATAATAAAAACATGTCTTCAAGTAGGAAAATGTTGATATGTGAAGCCGTATTCCCTAAGACTTAGGAAGTCCTTCATTTAAGAAAATTGGATATCTTTTAGTTCTTATTATTAAGGGAACGTTAACCTTTTAAGTGTAGAAAATATCAGAATTTTCTTGTATGAGATTAGGATGGGAGCCAAAATTTTTCTCTTGAGTTTCTTCTTTATAAAAGGTAGATTTGTAGAGAGAGAAAATTAGTACGCAAGAGAGGGTTAGTTTCTTTAATTCTTGGGTAGGTGATCTAGAGAGGAAAAACACATTCTTTTAGGACTTGTGAGAAAGAGCATGTAAAATATTTGTATTCTCTATGCTTAATGGTGTTTTTCTTATTAGTTGAAGATACATTTGCTACCCCACAGATATAAGCAATGTGCTTAGCCACGTAAATATATATCTTGATTTTTTTAATTTTCTGCACTATTTTTTTTTCCTTTATTTTTTTCCAAACCTTAGTTTTTATCTCCTATAAGGATGTCACAATCTTCTATTGCCATTAAATGCGAAATTTGACAGCTTGAAGTATAACAAAGTTAAAAGACACATCTTTTTTGTTGGGTGCTGTTTGCATAGAGCCTAGGCTCTAAACAATCAAATTAGAGCCTACCTTCAAATAGTATCGAGAAATGTGGTTTCAATATTGAAATTTTTGTGATAGGCTTAAAAATATATTTTCATCTTTATTTATAAAGTTTAAAGCTTAAAAAATAGTGTAGATTAATAGATCTATGAAAACTTGAAAATCTTGAAAATTAATAGTCCAAAAATATACTATTTTCAAAACTTTAAATCCATTTTTTTTTTCATGTCTATGCATCTGGATGTCAAGATGATCAATTTGATGATATTTAGGCATCAAAACAACTTCTTCTACTAAAATTTTTGAGGCAGGCTAAAATTTGATTATTTAGAGCCTCGACTCTATATAAACTTTTCTCTTTTTTGTCTTGAACCTGGCCAATAGGACATCCTTAGCTACTTGATTTTATATCAAAACGATGACAATTACTTGCGACCTTCTTGTATTAAAAATGAATAATCTTTTTGCATAATCTAGATTATACTTTGTAGGCATGCCTACCGATAATAAATGTTTGATGATAAAAGTGATTATGACCTATTTGTATTAAAAGTAAATAGTTTCTTTGTATACTTTTCCTACTTTTAACTACATTACTAACCTCAATATTGTTCATTCCCATTCTTTCCCTCTCTCTCAAGGCTTTCAAATTTTTAGAGTTTCTCTCTCTTGAAAATTAAGATAATTTGAAATTTGAAAGCCTTGAGAGAGAAACTATCTTAAATATATGGCTGTATTTTTGTCCTAAAAAATTAATTTCTTATTTTAGGTGAGTGGACCCAAAAATAAATACCCTTGGAGTTAAGAGGGTGGTATGAAAAAAACATGGTGGCGGGGGGGGGGGGGGGGGGGTGTTGGTCTAGCGTGTCCAAAATTGTGGTCGAGGGGTTCTATAATTCTTTCATTTTTTATATAGGTTTGATTTAATTTTCATGGTAAGACGGCTTGGAAAGGCAAATGAATGGTAGTTAGTATTTTCCCCTTTGTCTTCTACGTTTAATCGTTTAAAAAAATCCATGATTAAATATTCCTAATCGATGTAACTAAGAGAGGGACAAGGGTGACGGCTTGGATTTGGAGACTAATTCGTCTCTCTGTCTCTGTCAATAACCATAATGTTCAATGTTAATTGTCAGGGCATGGGCCCGCGAATAAACCCAAGTCTAAAATGTCGGCCAATATTTAACCCCTGCGATGAAGGGCAGAACTGAAACTGCCCTTTAAAAAATAAAAAATAGAAAGCGCACTTAACACTTAACCTTCTAAAATTTCTTGCCAAAATACTCCCTCAAGAGCATACTGTCTGTCTACTCCGTTGAATAAAATTCATGCCAACAATATTGTTTAAATATTAAATTTTGATGATGTAATCTGTTGCATCAAGCAAACAACTCCAACAAAAAAAAGAAAGAGACATTTCAAGGACTCAAAATCCAGTTTTTGAGTTCACATGGCAGCCCTCTAATTTTTTGAAGGAAAGACAAGATGTTCAAGAACTCAAAATCCAAATTTTTGTGTTTTTCTTTTTTTTTTTTGAAAATAATCATCTAGTGATAATTTAGTTAGATATCAAAATTTTAAATACAAAACAAATCTCTTGAGTAGCTCTTTTGCGTGAGTGGGTTGTTGTACAGTATATGGCCCGGGGGGAACAAGTTATACTTGCTCAATTTCTTTCCCACAATTTTTAATGGGGCTTCCCGAACTTATCCGTTGAAGGTCATGTCAACTCTTTGTATTCTAAAATTTTCATTTGGATCGTTGAGGTCAGAGATCAAACCAATCCGCATGAACAAGAAATTTAACCAGAAAAAATAAAATGAAATAAGATAACCATTACAATATTATATATGAGCGGCGCTTACAGCCAGTTCCGAGGTGATCAATCCATGGACTTACTCCTTTGGGCAAAAGAGCTACTTGTAAATAAATTTAGCCAACAAATTTTTTTAAAAAATAGGCGCTTGTAGCCGGTTCGAAGGGGATCAAATCATGGACTTACTCCTTTGGGCGAAAGAGCTACTTGGAAAGATTTTCTTCAATTTTTGAAATATGTATAAGATTTTGAGTTGTTAAATGATATGACTTTTCAAAAATTAAATGGTCGACATTATACTTTTCAAGCGCATAAAGAGAGTGACTTGTTTGTTTATTTTTTGCTATTTGGTCGCCAGAGTCCTAAGGTTACATGCCCCAAAATTTGCCGGCACAATGTACTCCTAAATTGATTTTTACCTGAGGGAATAAATGGAGGGAATGCTCCTGCAGGAGCATAGATCTTTTGACATTATCTAATCAAGAAGCACACTAGTTGGTGGAACGACTAAGATCTATAAAAGCATAAGAATGGACGATCAAAATACCTAGCTTCAATAATCATTGCCCACCATGTATGCAACTAGACCACTACGCAGTGTTGAGTCTCTTTTCCGGCTGCCGGAAGGTCCTTTTTCCGGCTACCTTCTTTTGCAAAACGAAGAAGAACAAGATCTCGAACCTAGTGTTGAAACCTGTTGTTGGGGTCTCTACAAGGACAAGCGCTTCACAGGTCCACCCTTTCCACAAAACAAATGTCTTTCTGTTTGTTTTACAGACAGTGCTGGAGAGACGACTGTGAATCATGTTGATCACACCTTCTTCATCCCTGTTCTTGGTCAGCCTTTAACTTATAATCTGTACTACGTTGTTGCAGTGGATGGCAAACATAAAGGGTAATGATATTAGACTTATCTTCTCCAACATGGGTTATTTTGAATTAGTATAAAGTGAAACTTCTTTCTTTTAATTCAAATTTGGGTATTTTATTTTTCTCTTTCTTTGGGTAATTCAATTTTTTTAGCAGGTTTGATTGGTTTCGTTAGTGAACAAACTTTCAGGGTTCTAATCTCACCTTTCCATATAAAAATTACAGGGTATCACACCGCTAGACCAAGGGCGACAAAACATCGAATGGAATTGATTTTTTATCAAAATACATATGCCTCTTATTTCATTTTGATTGATCATTTCTAGCCTTGATGCATCTTTCTTTTTCCTGCTGAATTCATATGATATCTGTACTCTACTTTGGTTCTTTGCCTTTCTTTTTAGTTCCCTTTTCACCTTGTTTTTATTGGGGCTAAGACGATGATTTACCTTGGGCAGGTTGGTGTGCACCTGCTCACGAGAGGAAGAGAAGGTCACCTCTTGCTTCTGTACTTTTGTGGAAGACACGAAGCCGAAACCTTTTCATCCCAATAATATCTACCAACAGATGCAAATCATTCCCAGAGGGAAAATCTGTAAGGATTTTATAAGCACGTCTGTGGCTTCAGATGGCTATCCCCCGCGGTTTCTTCGAAGGAACGGATGGGAAGTTTTTATTTCAAAATCAAAGAGTTTGAAATTGAGCAAAGCAGAAGGAATGAATGTCGATCTCCGTGCTCAATTCCCCCATATGAACTTCCCGATCTCGCAGAAGGGCTCAAAGATTGTTACTGTGGGGGAGTGGTACTCTCCTTTTATCTTTGTCAAGGAAAAGGGGGGACTTGATAAGCCCAAGAAGCAATTGAAGGAGAGCTTTTATTACAAAATGAGTTTGGAGCAACAGTGGGAAGAGATTCATTGTTGCAGAGGGTTTGGAAGCAAAGCTGTGGGGGTGGAAACAAGAGTAAAAAGTGAAGAGGGGTTCTTGATGGGAAGGGTGGTGGTGGATGAGAGGTGGGATATCACAAATGGAATGGTGTGGTTTGAAACCAGAGAGAAGAGTGGAGTGCAAGGAGGACTGATGGGGGTTGGCTTGAGCAAGGTAATTATGGAGAAGATGAAATGGGATCAAGATATACTGGGCAATAGAGGAGAGAAGAAGGATGTGAAAGTGGAGAGGGTTTTTCACAGTAGCCGTGAGGGTGAATGGACCTTCGCCTTATATGTCTTGGTGGAGAGGTATGTGTTAAGGAGAATGGATGAAAGCTTGATCTTCAGCTATGTCTTTAGACACTCTCAACAGTTGAGGGAAAAGTGGGAATAGCCTTATCCAGGCTCTAAAATAAAACTGGTTCAAGCAAGGTCATCAGGGGAGTCGCCCAATTCCCCTGGTTTCCTACTTTTGAGTTTTTCTTCTATGGTATATGTACACTGGTTGGATATCGTATTCGCCAAAGTCGGACTGGGTGAATCCGAATCAGTCCCCTAGCAATTTAGGGCCAGATTCCGATTTCTCGAACCCCCTGGCCTTAGCCATGGGTTGCATAGAGTATGTAGTACTATTAATCAATATCTATGAAGTTGCCATGTTTGCAAGGACTTCATAGACATTGGGGCTTGTTTTACATGAGATTTCTTAAGATTGATATGGGACAGAACCCTTTCTTGTGGTTCATACTTTATAATTGAAGGGTCTAATAATAAGCAAATGAAAGAGAGATGGAGAGAGAGAGAGAGAGAGAGAGAGAGAGAGAGATTTGTTTACAGCTGAATCTGAGCAAGGAACGAGAAGGTATTCATTGGACAATGGGAAACTTGTCACATGACCGGTTCTCTAAGCTACATTTCACGTTATGAATTTAATAAAATGCAAGCTACTTAACAAACTCAACATTAAGGGGTAGTTTGGGTACCCGTAAATCTCTCATGGGGAAATAGATTACAAGGAAATTTGTCATTTCCAGAGTTTGGGTACTGACATAGTAGGCAGGAAATGAAATGTATTACCTAAAATTTGCTTAAAAATTTGTGAAATCTATTCCCTGCACGAAGAGACGGAAAATGCATTACGGGATTGATAGATGGGTAATATGAAGCCTGACGGACTGCCACAAAACATACATCGTAAATGTGAGGTCTGCGAGGAAGTGTGACTCAATCTCTCTAAAGTCTCTCTCTAAATTTGAGGGCCTCCAACCTTTTCACTTTACTCTAAGCGTTCCTCTTCCCTCTTCTCTCTTTAAAATATTCACTCGCTTTTTGGCATGGTATGATGCATGAATCTTCTCTCTTTTTTTGTAGAGTATTCGTGCTTTTTTCGTCGTAGTTTTAATTGATATTTTTTGAAAAAAACAAACTTATTAAGAGTTGCAAGAAAATCACATCTCTATAGGCAAAATTTATACAATATTCTCAAGCCAAAATTAGGGTAATGCATTTATCAAATTTCTTTCATACGTAGCCGTATAACAATGAATTTCTAAAGTTGCATCCAAATGCTTAACCACATAGTAAAAACTTACTTCCATTTCCAAGGTTGCATCCAAATGCTTAACCACATAATAAAAACTTACTTCCAAGTAATGCATCACTCCAGTAATATATTTTACGAATAATATATTTCAATCAATACAATGGAATATGAATAAAATTATAAAACAAAGTAAAAAACAACTACCTTGTTCAAACTAGTCCCACATGCCTCTTGGATTTGGTGGTATAAAAAATCAACCCATCATATTTAGAGCTTTGCGCGCTACAAATGCTCTGATACCACTTGTGGTGCGCAAAAGCTCTAAACATGATTGGTTGACTTTTGGTATCATAGAAAAAGAACCCTCCAAAAAATGTACATACTTGGAAACTTAACTTTATCTTTATTATCGACCTATATCTATCCTAATCTATATGAACTTAATAATAAAATTAGATTATACTTAAATAAATAGAAAACAAAAAGATAAAGAAACTAATCCCATAAAATAGGGATTCAAGAATTCAAGACAGTTATCAACAAATATCTACTTTGGCTCAAATTCCAAAAGAGATTTTCGCTCGTAGATGTAGTCACATCTGTAACAAGCTATATAAATTTAGGTGTTCTCTTTTTTCTGTTATTCCTTTTATGCTTCATTTTTTTTGTTTGTTGCTTTGTCAGTTCTATTTTTTTTGTACTTTATTTGTCAAAACTCAACCGATCGATTTTGAGCTTCCATGCACAACAAGTAATATCAGAGTTTGGTTTGGGGTTGTCAGTTTGGTGGTGCAAGTTTCAAATGCAAAGTTCGAGGTAAAAAAAATGGATGAAAAATACTATTTTTGATAAGAATAATAAAAAATTTTATTTGATAAAAAATAAATAATTTATAAAGCTATCCAATTGATATGATCAGGTAATTTACTAATTGTTATATTTGATGATATAAAAACATTAGAGCTTCTGCCGGACCCGGCACGCTAGAAGCATGAGTTAGAATGGAGGACAAGAGTTGCCCTCTCCTTCCTAAAAAGGTCTCGGTCGAAGTTGAAGATAAAATAAAAATACGTAATATCTCGTTGGCATGAGTACCGGGCCACGTCCATGTCGCGGGACCCGCACCCATGTGAGGCCGCTGCGTTAGAGTCGTTGCTTTAAATACATCATGTCACTCAATTTGTCCTTAACTGATCATTAAAAGGGTTGGTATTACGTACATCGGATTGCACAAATACCTTTTAGTGGTTCAGATTGAACCAACGCCATCGGTCAAATTTGAATTTTGTATTTTATTTTTATTTTTTATTGAAACTGATATTTAATATGAGATTTGACATTGAGTTTGATTTTTATAAGTAGAATTGAATAAAAGTAATAAAAATATTTTCAAGAAAAATAAAGATCAAAATAAATTTAAGGGATTTTAGTTATTTTATATTTAGACTAAATTTTCATAATTTTTATTTAATTATATTTATAAAAATATATTTACACCGAAAAATTTAAATAAACAAATTATTTAAATAAAAAATTTAAAATAAAATATGAGACTAATTTTTGACTATTGGATATGGCTTGTGAAATCTCCTATGTTGAAAGGCCGCTTGTGTAACCTTTCACCCTATGTTGAAAGGGTGCTTGCAAGAAAGGTACCTTTTTTTTTTTAAAAAGTTACATAGGAATGGAACTTGAGACATACTGCTATGAAAGCCCAATTGCGACTGCCTTGATACAAGCCTAATTCTTATCAATAGTTTAGATTGAACCAACTTCATCCAAGGACCAAAATTAAATATTAATTTCTATTTGAACTTTTTATTTAAAAATATAAAATCTCAACCGTTGGAGCCACCGGTCCACATTATGTGAACGGGATACTTTCCTATTCGACATGCCATGCTTGTTTTGGATTCCAAGCATGAAATATTTTCACTAAAAACTCTTGTTTCATGTTCAAAACCTAGAACGCAAGAGTATTTACATCATTCATTCCAACTTAAGATGTTGAAAGTAACCTGTCTTTGATGCATGTTTTTAAAAACCTCTAGTTTGGATTTGGAACCCAAATCAAACGAAGTGCATTTTAGTAATTTTGCCTCATTTGTTTCATGTGCCAAATTACTTTTTTAATTTCCTTGCTTGTTCAAGATACCAAACTAAAAATAGTCGCATTTTGGTTCTTTTTAACAAAATAGCTGAGGAGCTACTTTAGTTAAATGATTTTATATTATTTTTAAGGTAACCACTTCACTGATTTTATATTATTTTTAAGGTAACCACTTCACTGGTTTTATATTATTTTTAAGGTAACCACTTCACTGATTTTATATTGATGGATTCTTTTCACAGCTTTGTTTTACCCTCTCAAATCATTCAATCAATTGAGAACAAAAAAAGAAAAAGATGGGATAATCAATTTGGAACTCAAAATTTTGTTTTGAGTTGGGATAATCTCTTCGAAATTTTGTTTTGAGATGGGATAATCTCTTCGAAATTTTGTTTCATATAGTGTTGAATCCACACTGACGTTTGTTGAATCACACCTTTCCATACTGATCTATTCAAGTCCATTTGAATAGATTTAAAAATATGAAGAAAAATATGAGTAATAGTAAAACTATGCAATTTAGATCAGTATGGAAAAGTGTGATTTAAACTGGCGTTATTTGGATTAGAGTGTAATGATCCTAAAATTTCAAAAAAAAAAAGAAAAAAAAAAAAACTTTTAATAAGTGATGGTCCATATAAGTATTATGGTTCTTAGGGACCATCACCACTTTTATTAACTTTTACTTTCCTTTACCCCATCTTTTAGTAGACCTGGGTTTTAAACATTTGAGGTGTAACTTAATAAAATAATATAATAAGGTATCTTAAGAATTTAAATAAGAAAGGCGATGACTCCCACCTTAGAAAATTTTTGAGATCTTTCTCTCTCTAGTCAAAACACAGTGAGCTCTTTCCTCTAACCGAAATTTTATCGGAAGCTTCTTCTCAAATATTTTAGGTAAGTGACTTCATTATCTTGAAAAATAATCCGTTTTTTTTAAAAATGAAATGAAATAATTACTTCTGCTTATTATCATGAATTTTAGGCGCGATAAATTTTATGCGCAAGCGACCCCATTATTTTGAAAAATAAT